GTGGTTGGATAGAGTATACAGAAAACAGGGTTACTATAAAAAGCAAAAACAAACTGACATAGTACTAATTATACAGTGAGGACTCTTACAATTCTCAAATCTTATAGTGTAACTATATTACCATTCAGTTATTAGAGTGAGTATATTTTTCAAACAGCAGTTAATTTGAGACATAGTTCAGTTGAAGGGGTGTTGTAAAGGTGATTGTACTGCTAAGATTTAAATTGGGAAGCCATAACAATTTACACAACCAGAAAATAAAAACACGAAAAGCTGATTCAGATAGGAATTTTTACTAACCCTCCAAAACGTCGTCTTAAGTGAAATATACACTTCTCTATGCACATGTTTCTTATAAGTGCATACAGTTGGTCATGGAACATCGCTCATATATGTTGGGACCATCAAGGGATGGATGATATTTAGTAAAGATAGTAAGTTAGTCTCTGAGTTTTTGAACCCGCATTGATTATGGCAGTTAGGATACTATCTAAGTCGATGTACTATATTTTATGGCTTAGGATTAATTTAGAAGAAAGGTAGGGGCAGTCAAATCAAAATTTTGCCCCAATCCATGAAATATCTGGGTGTTGTCTGAGTTTGAGATTGTCTTTGATATAAATTCGTAATCAAAGTGAGAAAAATTCAAAAAAAAAACTACACCTTTATATTTTCTTCCAATTCACTATCCTTAGCAATTAAATGTGAATTAGTTCTCACAAAAAACAAAACCATAAACTCATGAATATTTTTAACAAGTTTATTGGTCTCAAGCCACTTTCATTTTTTTGGTTTTATAGAGTATTCATATTTTCCTGTACTACATATTAAAATTAAAACACGAATTTCAGCGAAGGGATCTCTTTTCAACGAATTTATTATCAAGCTGTACGATCGTATATATATGAAAGTTTTTATAAAAGTACTAATTCCGTGAGGAAATGTGAACACAGTTAATAATATATACGATTGTACAGCTTGATAATAAATTCGTTAAAAAGAGATCCCTTCGCTGAAATTCGTGTTTTAATTTTAATATACTACATATGTTTCAATGTTATTAAAATTTGGCATTAAAATTTATTTCATTTACACATATTGAAAGATTAGTCATCTGTATGAAGTGCAAATATTTAATCAATCACCTAACCCTTTCTTCTAGTAATTCTGACATTTTTCTGTTTTCAATAGGTTAGATAAATGTAAACTGTCACAGTGAGAGTAATTCATATTAGAACAGTGTATTTTGTGTATTCTCCAAGTTCATATTCGTATTAAGGTGAACGAAATTCACTCAAATTGGCTTTAGTTTATTATTAATGAACTAAACTTTGATTACTGTCATTATTATTACATTCATTTCTGAAGATCATAACAATCTCAGCTAATCAATGACTTGTCTACATATTTAAATAGATATATATTCAGTTTATAAAGCTTCTGAAAAAAAAAACACATTCCGTTCAGAAAATCAATATATTCTTCCATAAGGTCACTAAAGCAATAATTGTTCAGTTTTACTGATTTACACCAAGATGAAGATTGAATGATTTGAAAAATTAAACTAAATTGTTTTTGCTTACTCTTCATAATCTTTATTTAGCTGAGAGAAAAATAATTTCAAAATGAGTAATGCAAGATAGTTAAATGATGAAGAAAAGACTTATTTACAGCTCAGTTAAATGGTTCTAGTTCTGTTTTCTTTCTCAATGTAAGGTTATTTTGCAATAAAACATGCTACAATATAGTCCTTCAATTTGTTGAATATGTATGAGGATATTAGTAAGCATTAGTTTTTGTCTGTTGTTGATATCCAGGACTATACTTGATCACTCCATTCCCACATGTGCATCCTCAAAGATTATCAGTGTGAATATAAATATTAAGATGAAGGCGTATACCGGTGACTAGTCCTTAATAAGACAAAACAATCTTCCTGAATCCGATTACTAGACACATGAAATATACCGAAATTTATGAAAAAAAGTTGTATTAAGGTAATCTATTCAGGATGTACATTTGACGACAGAGAGTGATCACTTACAATCCTGAATCTGAGCAACGAGAAATTATTAATCATTATTAATCTTCACATATTTGTTCACTTAAAAGATGCAATAGATTTCAGCGTATCCTATTGAAAAGTAGTCTGATAACGAAATATATATAAGAAATTACTACAAATAAAACAGGTTATTGATGTCAAAAAATAAGGGGAATAAAACCGAAGTGAAGAGACCATGTATTATGTAGTTATAATGCCAACAATATTATTACTTAATAATGAAATTAATGATCCAGTTGTAATGTCTTAATCAGTAGAAATTAGAAATTTCAACATTTCGCAACTCCGTGTAAGCCACTTCTTTATATTAAAAACCTTTATATATATATAGTTACTGACTTGATGTTTTATCAGCTGTATTGAAATCTATCGGTTGGAAGTGATATATGGAACTGAAAGCAAATTATGACTGACCACTGAGCGTGGACAAACACAAACAGCCTACAGACTATTAAATATATGATTTCCCTTCCTGTTATTGATTTCTACTCTGGACTCGCTGTGACTGCTTACATTTGTGTTGAATAAAGTATTACTTAGTGTTAATCTAAT